CCGCGCGACCGCGCAGCAGAGTTTCACTGCCCAGGTCCGTCTAGGGTTATGCGGAGCGGGGTGGGTGGAGTTGGCCATCACTGTGGCAGCAGCATCCCTGAGGTCTCGGACCCCTCTGTAGGGGAGCGGAGGACCCGCCCTGACCTAGCCTGGCCCAGCCTCGTCCAGCCTGGCCCTAGCGCCCCGCCCAGGAGTGGGTTCTGAGGTAAGGCCCACTGAAGTCCAGGAGGTAAGAGGGCCCTGGGTGTGAGTGATGGTGGCAGAGAGAGGGGGGCAGAGTGTGTCTGCACCTTGATGCTTCGAGGGCCCCATACTTACCCGCAGGGTTAGTGCCCTCGAGATTGGGAGGGAGGTGGGAGGTGGGAGGTATAGGTTCTTCTGGACCTTGCTGTGTGACCTTGGGCTAGTACTGCCCCTCTCTGAGCCTTAACTATCTTCATCAACTGAGTATAGAGGTGGTCCAGCTCCTGCCTCCCTCCCCCCTCAGTACTGAGAGTACACACACCTAGCACCACGAAGCCTGGCAGTCTTTTTGCGGAGAAACCCCAGTCCCAGTCTGGGCTGGGCAGTGGTGCTGTGGCATAAGGAAAGGAGAGATGGGACCCAATGGGAGTACATATCGAGGATCCAGAGGCTGTCTGGTCGTTTTAGTGTCCCGGAATTTGGGACCCTTGACACCCTTGCAGATTGGAGAACCGAAGCTTAAGCTCTTGCCCTCCCTCCTAGAAAGTCTGGGTTGGGAGTGGGGTCTGCTGGGTCAGCAGAGGTTAGTGAGGGCCAGTTTTGTAGGCAGGGGTGAGTGTGGCCAATCCAAGAGGTGGGACAATGCTCTTTCGTCTTCCATTCCTCTTCAGTAATAGGGCACTTGCCTGTCCCCAACAAAACCCTTGCTCCTTTCTTTCCAGGACCCAGACAAGGCCTCCTAGAGGGAAGGTACTGTCTGGGGCTGCCTTGGTCACACAGTAAGTTAAAAATCTGACAATCTGCAGCTCAGAGACCCAAGGGGCAAAAGGTGCCCCCTGGAAGCCCTGGCACCCATGGGAGTCAAGGTATTGGGTGTGAATGCCAGGGACTGAGAGAAGATAAATTTCTCCATCCCTAGTTCAGGGCAGGAATCTGTAGATCCTCCCTCCTCTTTTGAGGAGATCCGGGAACAGCTGACCTAGGGGCTAGCCAGGACCAGCATTTTATTCTGCTTTTCTGCTTGGCTTGTGTGGATCATTTCTGGAATGGCTAACGTCTCTTTCTAGTCTAGTCGTCTCTGTGGGGTGTCTCACAGCTGTTCAAGGGTTGTGGACATTAGAGACCAGGCCCAGGCAGAGGAGGGGCAGGGGCTGTACTCAAGGTTAAGCCTGTCTCTGGAAGCTACTTTTCTGGTCACATCCTTGATTTTATCTCATCTCGTGTTGTTGTCACATGTCTCTCCTCAATAGCTAGGCACACCTTCATGGCCACTGTACTTAGGTACACTCCTATCCTGGGCACTGTGTACAGAACACGATTGGTCCACTTCCTACAGCATCAGCCCCTAGCCAGGTGAGTGAGAGGGAGTGCTGGAGCCAGACTGCAGAGGATGAAGGAGCCAAGAAGGCCTGGGAGCCAGAGCTCAGAGACTAGCTCTGTGGAGGGACAAGGAAGGGCCTGCAAGTCGGGCATTGCAGGATGAGTCAGAACTAGCCAGGAGAGAAGAGGCAAGCCCTTTCCTATAGAGAGGACACCAGGAAAAATACAAAACAAAACAAAATGCAAACCCTTCTCAAATTCCCATCTGTGTCCTGTATCAGTGTCATGTCACACAGACAGCCCCAGAGACAGACTTTCCAGTGTGGGCTTTGTTGGAGGGGGGGGCTAGTGGCCTTGAGGTTCTGAGTAGCCAGGGAAGAGGAAGTTTTCAGAAATGAGGTTAATCTGATGGCATTGCTGAGAGAGTTGGGGCCAGAGAGAGGCTGAGGAGGTGATGAAGGCTGATCACTGGAGGTCTCAGTGTCTTCTTCACAGCTCACCCTCCTCCCCCATGGTGATAGAGAAGAGCCAGGTACCTTCCCGAGCAGAAGCGGGGAACTGTCAACACTCAGCTAACATGCCCAGACAGATGAAGGCTCAGGACCTTCTGGGAGGGGTGTTGCTTCTTCCAGGTGCCCTGGAGCATACATACAGAATGTACCTGGACACCCAGGTTGGAAGGCCGGCAGGGTGAGGGCACAAGCTCAGGGCTTGGACAAGGGCATGAGCTCTGGCTGGGAAAGGCCAAGAAGTAAGTGGCCAATCATCTTCCATTTGGGTCTCAGAGGCTGAGAGGTGAAGGAGACGCTTTCTCCATAACCAAGGCCAAGTCTGGCTAAATGAAAAACCTGGACTGCTGTCCTCTGGGATTTGTGCCTTTAGTGGAGGATGGATCAGATGAGGGAATGGGGTTTAGAAAACTACTGTCCTAGTCCAGGCATGAGATAAAGAGGGGCTGATGTTGGGGGAGAGTGGAAACAGTTGAATTGAGGGGATTCATAGATGCAGTTGGCAGGGAGTGCTCCCTTCCTTCCCCTCATAGTATGTGTGTGTCCCTCCATGACACAGGGCCAATAAGAGACTCATGGTTTCCAAGCCACCATCTTTTTTTTTTTTTTTTTTTTTTTTTTTTTTAAACAAAAAACACTGGCCTAACCCTAGGAGTGGCAGATGCAGAACAGCTCCCATTTTGCATTGAGAAAGCTGAGGTGCTAGAAAGAGCTTGCCCCAGGCGGGCCTGTAGATCTTAGCTGAAGCCTTGGACCTACCACTGGATGCTCTGGTAAGGGAGGAGGGCTGCTGCACTTGGTGTGGAACTGGCTAGACTCAGAGCCTGTGTGGCCAAGCTGTCCCTGCTGGGTAACCCAGCCTCCTCCTCCAAGAGAGGTGGCCTACAGCTTCTGGAAGGGGAAGAAGGACAGCTGATTCTGCTGTGCCCTGGAAATGTGTCTCCCCCTACTCCCTACTCCTGCCTCCTTTTCTGGCTTGGGATTGGAGTCAGGTAAAGTCAAAACCTCTGAGGCTCTTTTGCATGAATGCATCCAAGATATCACGGAGTGGGTTTACTGGTAACCATGGTGACAGCTGACCCAACTGCTTGCGTAGGCGTTGGAGCAGGTAGCAGGGCTTGTGCTTTGTGGAGAGGCCAAAGACTGAAGAAGGCTGGCTTTGGCGATTGGAACTTCGGGTGGTACTGATGGACTGGGCTTCCAGTTGCCAAGTGCAGCCCACCTGATGTAGTGTCAGGTAAACCAGCAGGGAATTTGGGGTGTTTGATCATTTGGTTTCTGTGGTTTAATCTAATGCCACTTATTCCCATTTTTAAAATAAGAAAAGCAGCTCATATATATATATACATATATATATATATATGAAGAAGGCATTGCCACTTATTCCCATTTTTAAAATAAGAAAAGCAGCTCATATATATATACATATATATATATGAAGAAGGCATATATATATATGCCTTACTCAGGGTCACACAGTACAGGTCTCCATTTCCTCTTTGATTTTTTTAAATCATCTTCTAGAACCTTCTCTGGCTCCAGAATTCCATTTGTGCCTGCCCTATGCCTTTACCCTCTATACAAGATGCCAAAATCTCATTGATTAAGGTTTTTTCTTAGCAGCATGCATGCTGGACTCTCTTGGCAGCCTGGGTTAAAAAGCATGACCCATTCACTAGTCTACACGGCATGGGGTGACAGCCACTGCCTTGCCTATGTCCTGCCTAAGAAAGAGGGCCCAGGGTGACATGGTAGTGGTGGGAGGGCCATCCATTTTCTTGTTAATTCTATTTGTTGTGCTGGGGATCCAACCCATGGCATTCTGTATACTAGGCTCTATTACTGAGCCACACCCCCAATCTAGAGGCTAGTCTTTAAAGGCCTAAGGATCCTGTTTTGCACTGCCAGTTGCTCTCTATAAACACATCTGCTTCCACTACTAGGCTTGCATCTCCTTAAGGACCCGAGTCTTTGCTTCCAAGGCAGTGGGAATTGATACCCTTCGAGAATTTCCTCATGCCCAGCACCATGCAAGGGCGTCTCGTTCATTTTCATAGCCCATTCAAACCAGTGGGAGGTTCAAGGGGCAGAGTAATCTTGTTGGCAACCAGAATGTATGTCAGACAAGCCTCTCTCAGTAAAAATGGAGTCTCACCTAGCATCCTTCCACTGCCTAATTGAGGAGACCTGTGCTGGGCCCTGGGCATTTGACTTTTTTTTTTTCTAAGATGAAATTTATTTAAAGAGAACAATGAAAACCCACTCTGGTGGTTTACACCTATAATTACAACACTAAAGAGACTGAGGGAGGACACAGTGGGACTCAGGTTCCCCTGTTCTACAGAGTAAAACCCCATCTGAAAACAAAACAAAAATAAACAAGCAACCCCCCGCCCCCCAAAAAAAGCCAGGCATGGTAATTCATGCCTATGATAGGAGTACTTGTGAAGGAGAAGCAGGAACATCAGTAGTTCACGACCAGCCATGGCTATTTAGTGAGTTTTAGGTTAGCCTGAGTCACACAAGACACTGTCTCAAAACAACAAAAATACCAAGCAACTAAAACTTACATTTCAAGCAATAGCAAAATATAAAAAGCAGAAGCAAGTGGCACAATGGAAAAGCCACCTAAGCAATACAGCTTAGCTTAATTTTAGTGTGCTTGCCTAGGGTGTATGAGACCCTAGGTTCAACCCCAGCACTATCAAATGAAGTGTCACAGGCTTGTGCTAAGGCCCTGCTGACTCTAAGGCAGCCAGGCTAACATTTGGGGGACACTGATCTGGGCTGTGCATACCCTCCAATCACTGAACTCTGAAGATTCTAATTTGGTGTGGGAGATGCCAGCCACCGAGAATTAAGCTTGGTTCCTGTCCCAGGGAGCTCACACCCTGAGACAAACTTAAACACCCTCCCCCCCAAAGAGACCTGCAGTAACGACAGGGTGCAGAGGTAGGACACTGTAGAGTGCATCTTCATAGAGTCTGGTGTGTAGTTGGTTCCAGAAAAACTCAGGCTCTGAATCATGTTTTCTGGCCCAGTGTCCAGGAAATGTTCAGTTGTCTTCACCCAGCTGCAGTGTGCAGCTTCAGTAGTTTCTATGGAGTCAGTAAATGAAGCATCTACTACTTGTTGGATTTTGCCTAGAGTAGGATTATGCAGAGAAGGAGCCCTGCCTTCTCTCAGGTGCCAGCTAGATAAGAAGTGACCCAGTTGTAGCTATGAAAACCAGCCTGAGACTCTGGAGTCAGAATGGGTTAGTGTGCAGGTTTCCCGAGAATAGCCCAGGTACAGGGCTTTTATGCAGTAAGAACCTCACCCACCCAACACAGGCCTACTGTGTGCTAGGTCAGGTGCCAGTTGCTGGGGAGGCTGATATACAATGCTTGACTTTCGGAACCATGCTTAGTGTGGTGGGGAGGCTGTCACCAGCCAAGTGCTGTAGTGGAGCCATGCAGGATGGGTGTTTATCTAGGACGTCTGAAGCAGTAGGAAGGCCAGGTGAGGCTTTTTTGGAGTACCAGCCAAGTGTCTTAGTTACTTCTCTATTGCTCTGATAAAACACCATGGCCAAGGCAATTTATAAAATAATTTAATTTGGACTTACGGTTTCAGAGGGTTCAGGTTCATGACTGTCGAGTAAAGGCATGGAGGCAGGAACAGCTGAGAGCTCACATCTTGTTTAGGAGGCAGAAAAAGTTAACTTTTGAAACCTCAAAGCCCACCCCCTTGTACACTACCTCCTACTACTTCCTAGTTCTTTCTGTGGGGACTAAGTATTCCAACAGGAGCCTGTGGGGGCCATTCTCATTCAAACCACACCAAGCAAGGAGAGGAGGTGGTGAGTGCATGTGACAGTGGGAGCCCAGTGGACAAAGAGCAGGGGCTGAGGCTGGAGAAGCAGGCAGGGCCCTGGGGGTGAAGGACTGTGGAGCCAGGCTGGGTAGGAGGGTTGGGGAGGGCATTGGGATGACCCTAGCATGAAGTGGTGGCAGCTGTGAGAGGGGACCAGGCTAACCCTAGTATTTTCCAGTTGCTGTGGTATACAAAAGCAGCCTAAGGGAGAAAGGATTGCTTGTGGTCCCCGCTGAAAAGCATAACACATCAGGGTGGGGCGGTCAAGGTCGCTGCACACACAGGATGATGAGAGCAATGAGGACCTGCGCTCAGGTCGCTTTCTCCTCCTGACACGTTTGAGGATCTCAACCCAGAGAATGGTGGATGGGTCTTCCATCTCAGACCAATCAAGATAACCTCCCACAGGTGATCAGAGGCAGAAATCCCTCACTGGTGTGCCCGGAAGCGTGTCTCACAGGTGATTCTAGGTCCTCTCAAATTGATAATAACATCCACCACAAGGATGATATGATGGGATGATGGGACCGGGAGTGGGCTCACCTCGGACAGGTTTTTTAGACTTTAAGGAAAAGAAGTTTGCCAGGTGACTAGTAGTGACAGGGGATTAGAGACTGAATCGGGCAAACAGCACAACACTCACCAAGAGGAGAAGTTTGCAAACTTGTAGGTGATCTGAGAAAAGGGCCTCGCACCGATTATCCAAGACTACTTACTGCTACCTCTTAAGAGCCAGCACTCACCTATTTCAGGAGTGTCTCCAGTTACCAGAGAGGCGAGGAGAAGTCGCCCAGCAGCCAGAGCTGGGGCTCCCAGGTGCTGGCCATTCTGATCTACTTCTTTGTGATAAAGATATTCGCGTGTGTTCCATTTTACAGAAAACCGAGGTCCTCCTCCAGCTTCAGCACCCAAGGAACTGGGCCCGGGTGTGTGTCAGAGCGCTTCCCTGCTCCCTGCGCCCAGCAGCCTCGGGCCGTCATGGACAAGATCCTGGAGGCGGTGGTGACTTCATCGTACCCTGCAAGCGTGAAGCAAGGGCTGGTGCGGCGAGTGCTGGAGGCT